AACCCTCGTTCAGTCCGGGGACCCGCAACCCTCGTTCAGTCCCGGGAGCCCGGAACCCTCGTTCAGTCCCGGGGACCCGCAACCCTCGTTCAGTCCCGGGGACCGGAACCCTCGTTCAGTTCCGGGGACCCGCAACCCTCGTTCAGTCCCGGGAACCCGGAACCCTCGTTCAGTTCCGGGGACCCGCAACCCTCGTTCAGTTCCGGGGACCCGCAACCCTCGTTCAGTCCCGGGGGCCCGGAACCCTCGTTCAGTTCCGGGGACCCGGAACCCTCTAGTGAGCCGTCTCTTGTGGTGGGAGAGATCACACCGAGTGAGGAAGCTCCACCCACTTGGCTCCACACGGAAGAGCTCATCTCAGTGGGCACTCTGGGTGCTGAGGCACCGTCGAGCAGCGGCATTCCCCAACCTTCTCCAGTACCTGCTTTTCTCGCCACGGAACCGCAACCAGGATTCTTCCGCGACACACCTGCCCAGCTCGCCGAAGACTCCCCCACCGAATTTCACCTCTCCGACCACAACAAGTCCCCGCAGGACTCAGAGATGCGGCGGCCCGAGGCGCTCGCTGTCAGACCGACGCCCTCCGCGATGTCGATCATCCAATCCCTCCCAGGGGAGCCGAAGAGACTCTCAGAGCCAGGACTGGGTGGCGACTCAGAACTCCCCGCCTTGAAACAAGTCCCCGTCTTGAAAGCAGTTCCCGTCTCGGGACAGGTCCCCGTGTCGGGGCAGGTCTCCGTCCTTGGGGAAGATCCAGAGCGTCAAGCAAATCTGGAGCCGGAAGAGCTCTCCACGCATACCGTGAATGTGGCGGCCCCAACCATCGACGACTCACTGGACCAGATTCAGAACCTCTCGGCCGGCAAAGCTGATCCTCAAGCCCTGGCTTCGCAAGCGCTGGGTTCGGCGATTAGTGTGGCGTCGGGCATCGGTGAGTTGGATGATGGGCACACGGCTGGAACGCCATCGTTGCTCCCCGTCCTTGCCGAGTCTCAGGAGCTACAAGGGCGCACACAAGAGCGTCAGGATTCACACGACTCTCGAGGGCCAAAAGAACCTCAAGAGCGAAAAGAGTCACAAGGGACACCGGAGCCTCAAGAGCCTGAAGGGTCACTGCCGCGTCTGGAGTCACAAGAGATCGGGCGCGGGTCGAGTGCATGGTTGGGGGAGATACGAAGGGATTTGATCGAAAGGTTGTCAGAGGTCGCAGACCCGAGTGAGGGAGGCGCCAACGCCGATATGGTCAGTAGCGATGTGGCCGCTGCTCTGATCAAATTATTGTCTGATGGAGTGTTGAGGGTTTACGAGCGGATGAGTTTCGAGTTCGGCGGGAAGGGGACCGCAGCGGGAGACCATTGTTTTTGTGAGTTGGCGGAGGAGTTGCACAAGGTGGTGGTGTCGCGGAGTGCGGAGTCAAGTGTGTTTGCGAACACACGTGCGGTGCGGATGGAGCGAGCAGTGCAGTTGAGCCGGAGCAAGGTGAAGGAGTTGGCGCAGCAGGAGGCTGCGTCGCGGCGGGCGTTGGAGGCAGCGGAGCGGAAGCACGCGTGTGCGGTAGAGGAGAGCCGGGAGTTGGCGGAGAAGCAGTGCGCACTGATCGCGCAACAGCATAGTTCCATTCGACAGCTGCAGATGAAGGTGGAGGAGCTCGACGCAGTGGTGGGCAGTTCGCAAGAGACCATCAATAGCCTGACCAACCAGATTTCAGAGTTGACGGAGATGTTGATGGACGAACGGGAAGAAGACCGCGAACACGCGCGGGAACAGACCCGTGAACTGGCGTTGGAGCAGGAGCTAGTACGGTGCAAGGAGGAGCTAACTAAGTGCCGGGAGGAGTTTGTTCGGTGCAAGGGGGACTTGAGTGCGGCGAAAGGGTCTAATGCAGGGCTGCAGAAGGAGCTGGAGAAGGTTCGAGAGGGCGTCGGTCGAGGTGAGGCGGAGGCGAAGGTGGCGCGAGAGGAATTGGCAAACGTGCAGGGTTTGTTGGGGCGTTGCCGGACGGAGTATGAGGACACGGTGTCAGGTTTGAGGCGGCAATTGAGTCAATTGAAGTTGGAGACTGACAATGAGCGCGTGGCGTTGCAGGAGACGGTGGCCAACTTGCAGAGTCACGTGAGGCCACCGACGTTTACGGAACTGAAAGAAAATGCGCATTGTCGACCTTTGGCTATTGTCATGCACAAGGAAACAGGTTACGTTTTGGTTGAGCGAGACGGCGAGGAACGTTTCTGGTCTATCGACAAGGACATTCCGGGCAGCCGACTGGGAAACCATCTGTGCGACGGCGACGGCTGGGGTGCCTTCAGACCGGCACCAGAAGACCTGGCTTCCGCCGAACTCGGTGTGCCCGTCTATGTAGCCCTGTCCGATGCCAAGGTCAGACAACTCGAGGACCTGGAACTGGAATTATCACGAAGGCAACTCCTTAGCGCGCAAGAAAGTGTTGGCAATAAAATCGAACTTGTCCTTCGAAACGAAGCGGACAAAAACCTTGAAAACAGAATTGAACTGCTCCTCGCGGAAATCAGAACTCTCAAAGGGACCATACAACAACTTAGAGACAGACATTATGGTGAGCAGTTTACTGGTAACCAGGTGGACGAGATACTGGATCAGGCGATACAGGACGGCGCGAGCCCGAACAAGCAGGACCTGGGCGCCCCAGGCGGCGACCAGACGACCCCAGGCGGCCAGGTGACGATGCAAGGCGTGGCGGAGCTCCAGAGACGACTACAGAGGGCTGAACACTTGCTGAAGAACAGTGAGCAACGAATCCGCAGTCTGGAATCAGAACTAATCGAAAGCCTAAGCAGGCAGAAGAGCCGACCCAGCCTCACCGCTCCAGTCTCCATCGAAGACCCCACACCACCACCGCTGGACCCCGCCAGCCAGTTGGAGTTTCTGGACGGGATGAGTGACACTGGTCGGTCGCAGCCGTCGGCGACTCACGCCATAGACCTGCGAATAGTGGCCCTCACGGAGAAGAACGAGGAGCTGGAACAGCAACTCAAGAAGTTGGCCGACCAACTAACCACTGACGTAAGAACGCCACTGCGTACCCACGCTATGACCCACACTGTGTGTGAGACCTGCACACTAACCTGCACACTATACTCCTGAGTGACCTAAGCTATGCCAAGTGTTCGATGTTATGTGTTCGATGTTATGTTCAACATAGTGTGTATATTTGTTTTTTGTTAGACCAACGAGTATCGATCGTTTCAACTGAAGCAAAGTTTAGTCTATATGCTAGGTCAGCTACCAGAAAATTCTAACAGAGAACTGGAACTGACAATCCAAACAGTTGTTGGCTTGCTGGGTCTTAACGATGAAGAGAGGTCGCGACTTAGCATCAAGAGATCCAACCGCGCAAAAAGATTCGGGTGGCGGTGACACAAAAATATAATATGACCGGGGAGCAAGTTTCTGGTTGGGAAGAAGGGGCCTCCTGAGCAACTATCGAGTTGGGGCCATTTTGAGTTATTTTTTTTTCCTATGGCTATAGGTGAGCAAGCTGAAGCGTTCATAAATGAATTAGCAGCCGGATTGAGCGACCCGATTAAGCTTCGAGAGATTTATCAGAACAGACTGAATGTTGACGAATGGCCAAAAATCGAAGAAGTACTTGACCACATTCCTGATCAATCGAAGTTATTTTACATACTGTATCAAGATATCAGGCTCCGAGCAATTTCTGAAGATGAGTCAACATGGGGTGAAAAGCTCTCAATCTACCATAATTATCGATTACTATTGGAAGCATTCAGTAATCCGTAAGAGCACGCACTTCAATATGGTTTCCGTCTAAGTTTGCGAACTCCGCGCGATAGCACGCGCGATAGCACACGCGTGTGCATGGGCCGATAAACCCGGGACATGTTCTTCTTGACTTAGGGATTTGAACGATGCGCCAAATTTGCCGGTAGACTGGTTGTGGGATTCATTCGGGTTCCTTTTGAGTTCATTCGTGCAGAGTACTAATGAAAAGTGGTTGTTATTAAGGACCAATAGGAGCATTTGCGAATCTCTAGACGAAAATGAAAAAAGTGCGTTCCAAACGCTATGGGATCCGTCGACAATAGAGGAGCTGCTATGCTCTTTATTGCCATCTGGGAGCAACATGAAACATGTGGCGAAGGCAACTTTAGGTATATACTACTTCGCAGTTTGCGATTTCCATGCCGGATATGAGATGCTGTGCGCTCTTGAGCGTGACTTACAGCTGTCTTCCGCCGAAAGCCATTACCAACGATCGGATCGGCAGAGGTTGAACCGTTTGATGGGGCCGAGTGTTGTCTACTACAAGGCACTGTATAAGATGATGATTGGGCATTTTACGGAGGCGTCCAAAGTCTTGGGTCGTCGGAACAGTGGTGCGAATAATTATGGCACGGCAATAGAGAATACGGGTCTAAGGTTGGTTCAAGGAGATAGTCGCACTCTGGGGCTTATTAGTATTTGTGAAACGCTCTCGACTTCTACGGACAAGAGTGATATTCCCGTCGAGGAGGTGTTCAGATCAGCATTGATACCGCTCTGTTCTGCGTCAAAGTGTGCTGGCTGGGAATTCGTTGATTCGCAGTTATGCTTGGAGGAACGAGTAGTTCCTACCTTTATGCGAGCGTACAGTATTGCGAAAGAAAAAGGAGAATTAGTTAGTCTAGCAAACCTTTACCACAATGTAACCCTGGAGAAAATAGGTAAGGTAGCTAATAAAAGCTCTACCTTCAAGAACCCAGGCGGTATTGAGACAATCCGTGCTGATCTGCTTGACAATTCTAACCTATACTTGACGGGAAATTCCGTTAACATTCAGACCGTCGTGAAACAGGAAACCTATACGGACACCTTTAACAAGCAAGTGATGAGAGGGAAAGAACTCTTAGAGGTGCTGAACGGAATGAAAGCGTGAACGTAATGGTAAGCGAAAATCAGCCGCCTGCCACTAACTTGTGGATGACTTATTGATGGCCTGGTGAGCTTCTTGTGGAGTGGCAGTGTTGTAGTTATGTGCAGTGGATCACAAAGTTTTTCGCGCTACTGCTATCGATACCGCTGAGATACAAACACGCGCGCGATCTGAAAAAATGTTTCGCCGGGCTTTTTCGTTGTTGGCCATCTTCGCTGAAGCTGGCTATTATGTGAAAGGAACAGTACCAAGAGGAACATTCAGATCTGTACCCATCACTTTGCCTGTTGTTGGGGACCCGGTGGTGGTGCGACCTCGAGGCACCTATAAGCCGCTGACCGTCAACCCCTCGCTGCCGCCTTTGAGCTTGGATACATGGGTGCCCGTGGAATATTACCGGCCGCATGGTTACATTTACGTGAATCAGGAGGACGGGAACGAATATACGTTTGTCGACAATGCAACCCGGCCAGTGGTGCGCAGACCTGTGGTGCCTGATCGGCTGGTCGGCCCACTTGAGCCTCGAGAGGCCCGCGAGCCCGAAATTTTCGACTTTATGGACCCCATCGACCCGGCCTTTAGCCAACCCATAATGGACACGATCCACCAGTCACCAGATATTCGGCTGGGCTCCGCTGACAGCGAGGAGGCTCCCCGCCGTCCGAACTTGCGCGGAATGGTGGACGGCCTCGCTGCGCTCCCCGTCCAGCTTTTGAAGGACGCCATCAGCATCCCACAGCATTTCGCTGAACTCTTCCGCCATGGCTTGAGCACGGACGCGCTGGCCGACTGCAACAGTCTGACCAACCCGCTGTGCATTTCGGCCAATGTCTGGGCCACCTTTGCGACTGCTGCCCGTGTGGACGGCAGCCTGGACGTTTTCAACCTCACCAGCAACGCAGAAGAAAGACCCTTTTTGGCCGCAGTGACTGAAGCGTTGGCCGACCGCCTCGGCGAGTTCCGGGCCAGCCAGCCGGTAGTGGGAGTGGTGGCCGATGCGGAAAGCGAGGAGGTGGTGGCCGTATATCAGCCTGACTGCCGCGTGGATAAGCTAGTGCAGATCCCTGGGCAGGTCGCAGAACGGCTGTTGGATGCCATTGACCGAGGTCGTCAGGTGATTTTCAAGGAGACAGAAAATATCGCCCAGAGCATCAGCCGTAAGGATCTGGTCGGCGTGCTGGTCGAGCCGTTGGACTACTTGAGCAAGCAGATCAGGCAGCTCGCTAATGACCGACTGCCCGAAGAGGCTCTAGAGGACACCGTGGCTACAGTGAATGCCGGGGCGGAGAAACTGGAAATCGCCATCACCAAAGTTATTGACCAACTGACCGCCTTCCCACAAGCAGTAATCGAAAAGGTGAAGGAAGCAAAGGAGGAGGTCCACCAACGGGTCAGTGACGCCATCCACCACGCCACCGAGGAAGAGGAGCCCTGCGAAGAACAGGAGGAGGCTGCGATGACGGAGGAGGCCGACCCAGTAGCGGTCCGCCTCGATGCCGATGTCTCTTTACACCTGGGCGCCGGCCATACGGAACTTGACGTTGAGGCCGACGTCTTGGAGGCCGCTGTGGTGGACACGGACAAGGATGCGAACAAGGACGGGGACAAGGAAGTGAGTGTTAAAGAGGTCCAGGCTGCGGAGAAGCCGATCGAACCACTGAAGCCGATCAACCCGATAAAGCCGATCGAAAAACCTATCCAGTCTATCGTGCCCCTGGTTAAGCTAGACAAACCCGTCCAGACCGCGCAGCCCATCCGGCCAATTCAGCCGTTGCCTAAAATAGAGAAGTCGGCGCAGCCGGAGAAGTCCACCTTGGTGCCGCGTAACGTTGCGGCCACCACTAGACCTGCCCGCCTCTGGGACAACGGATTCCTCTTCGGCTCCGGAGCCACGACCGACCTCTTGAGAGACACTGCCGACCAACTCATGAGCGTCATCCCGCGCACTTTCAACATCGCCCCGGCCACCCAGCCCCTAGACATCATCATGAGGCCTTTCTTCAACACCCTTGCCAGTATCTAGGCACGCTCATCTCGCGCCATTTCGGCTTTGGGACTAGCCATCGCCTACTTTGGGTCCTCTCCATCGGGGACGTAACAGATCATGACCCTCGGACCCTTTCCCTCGAACCCTTCCCTTGGGCCATCCGAAGGGCAGGATTATTTTTCGCTACAGGATTGATTAGTAGTTGCGACTAAAATGGATATAATGATAGAGTGACTAAGCAATAGATAACTAGGCCATCGGAGCGGCCGTGGTAGCCCCACCGGTAGCCCAGGCGGGTTCATCACAGTCGTGGATCAATTCCCGCCGGTCAAGTCAGTTCTCGGGGGCCGAATCATTCATTGACTGAGGTCTCGTGGTCGCCTTCGCGGCGATAGTTTAGCAGAGGCCGCCAAACAGTCCGTTGCGCCTGTGGTAGGCACCGGGTGGTAATTTAGGCATTTTGCCGAAAGACTTGTGGGACTGTAATGGGGCGGTGGCGGGAATGGAGGCGCCGGGATTCATGATTCCGGAAGGGTCCATGAAGGCGAGGCCGCCGGACGGGGGAAGTTGTCCTTTAAGTAGCCTGCCTTTGAGGCTGCGGTTAAAGTCTTGGGGGTCTGCGAGTTGCGGCTCGGAGGACTCGAAGGAGCCTTCTCCGGGCATCTCCACGGCCGCTTCTTCAGGTACAGTAAACTCGCTAATGATCTGCCCGGGTAGCAAAGCCTTTGCACCCTCCGGATTCAACGGGTCAATCGGTATCTTCCGGCCGTCTTGCAACCGGTAATACTCCTCCTTCACTACCGACTCGCCTGCATACCCCTCCGGCCACTCACCCGACTCGCCCTCAGCGCGAAACCCTTCCTGAGAAGAAATTGAACTCCCGTCTTTTTCCATTTGCATGCAGCCGTGGGGTCAGAGAGCATGCCAACACAAGCACCGCCATCGTCGTCTTCTTCATCAGACGATGAAGAATACATGGAAGTCGATCTGGTATGAGATAGCCTGCACCCAACTACCCACCCCGGCCACTCGTCCCAGCCACCTATCTAACCGCTACTTAACCGAGCCACGTGCACACTTCGCCTGCCACACACCACATACTTCATCTACCGCGCTAATAATCTATCGACCTAATGATCTACCGACCCAATAATCAACTGATCTAATGATATACTGGTGCGATCTATTGACTGACGATCTAGTGATCTGGTGGTGTAGTGATCTGGTGGTGTAGTGATCTGGTGGTGGCCTGGTGATCCGGTGGTCCAGCGATCTAATCTCGCGACTGCCAATTTTGTAGGACAAGCTCCAGAAGCGAGAGCGCGCGCCGGCGATCAGTGCCGAGGCTGACGATTTTGACCCGGACTTCAAAGCCCCTGTGCACGAGAAGAATCAGGACGAGGCTGAGCGCCTGCGGCGGATTCTGAAGGGGTCGTTCTTGTTTTCAAATCTAGACGGCGATGAGTTGAGTACGGTTATAACTGCGGTGTCCGGAGTCCAGTGCGAGAAGGGACAGCAACTCATTACGCAAGGTGAAGCCGGTGATTGCCTGTACGTGGTTGAGTCCGGCTCGCTGGACGTGTTCGTGAAGGCCAGAGGAGAGACCGAGAAGGTGAATGTCATGGGCCCTGGATCCACCGTCGGCGAGCTCGCGCTTCTATATATGTCGCCAAGAGCGGCAACTGTCGTAGCCCAAGAACCCTGCGTCCTGTGGAAACTCGACCGGGAAACTTTCAATCATATCGTCAAAGGCGCAGCCATGCGCAAACGACAACAGCTCATGTCCATTCTAAATAAAATACCACTACTCCGTAAGACCTCCCCGACCGGCGAATCTGGTGTCTATATCTCCAGCCTACCCCTCCCTATCTATCTATCCACACCACTCGGTTGAGAAGGCCTTCCCCGAGAGCCAGCCAATTAATATTTGGACTCATTGACTATCTCTTGTATATTAATCTCTCGTACTAGTCACCTTGTCCCGGCCACCTCCTGCTTCCTCCGACCCCCTCCGGCTTGCGCCTTGTCTTGGATGACTACCCGAGCCTTACTGATCCGAGTCTTACTGATCCGAGCCTTACTGATCCGATCTGATCTTCCTTCCTGCGTTCCGACACCCTCTTGCTAGTCTCCGATAGAAGTACTCTCCGAAGGGAGCAAGAGGGTCTCGTCATGACCCCTAACCTCGTCATCGCCCCTACCCTCGTCATCGCCCCTACCCTCGTCATCGCCCCTACCCTCGTCATGGCTCCCCTTCACGTGATCTTGGTGCAGGAAGTTGTGACTCTAGGCAGTTGGAACAGTTAGCGGACGCAGCAGCAACTTGTGAATTTCCGTCTGGTGAGTACGTTATAAAGCAAGGCGATCCGGGAGACGCATTTTACATAATTCTTAGAGGACGAGCAGAGGTGTTGAAGGACGGCGTTTGTGTCTTGCGGTACGCGGACGGAGACTACTTTGGCGAGTTGGCCTTGCTTAGCGGGGAGCCGCGAGCGGCCTCGGTCGTGACCACCGGGCCGACCAAAGTGATCCGATTCGACGTGGCGTCTTTTAATCGTGTACTAGCACCGCTTCAGCAGACCCTGATCGACCGAGCTGCCGAATATCAGGACGCACCCGTTGATGAACAGGAAGACAAAAGCGAAGCACGTAAGAAAATCTGAGAACCAATTCGCATGCAGTAAGGGGAGCATGAAGCCGTCCTTTCTCCAAGGTCCACAAGCCGCCGTTGCAACAGATCCCGCGGCCGTCCTCAAGACCAAGATCTCCTACCGTGAAAGCATACTCAAGCTCAAACCGGAGTCTCTTACGTATTTTGGCGCTGCACCCTCGAAACCAAAACCTGCTACTAAGTTGAAGCCGACCACCCGGTCGAAACGTCCCGCCAAGGCAAGGTCGGGCGTCTCCAAGACCAAGGCGACCTCGGCCAAGGCAACGCCGACCACCTCCAAGACGACGACTGCCAAGGCGATCGTCAAGAAAAAGGCCGGGTCCGTAACCGATGCCCTAGCGACAGCGGTTGCTGATGTCCATACCACAGCTGGCACCCAGAGTGACCGAACTATTTTCAATGCCACAAGCGCTTTCAAACATTCTCCTAAGAAGCCGGGTTTACATGAAGCGTGGTTACCAGATCCCGATCCCATCAAGGGCCGAACCAAACGGAAATTTGTTCCTTCTAGAGGCCCGCCGATTGTGGACGCCCTCTCACCCGAGGATCCTAACACGGGAGTAAACGCTGCAACGGCCCCGAGCGGCGACGCTGCTCAGCCAACTCGTCCGTCCTTAATTGGCTCATTGAAGAAGCTTCCAAGCCGAAAATCTTCGAGCCAAAAGCCTTCCAGTGAAAAACCTGCGGCCCAAAAGCCCCGTAGCGACGGGCTGCGGTCCCTGGAGGGACACCAGGCTCCTGAGCCGGACTACTTGGGGGCACTTATGCCGAAAGCCGAAAAGGCTGCATGGAGGAAGCGCATGAAGGAGAATCCGCCGAAGCCCCGGGAGCCATTCCGAATTGAGGAAGTGGCGCACAGGCTCGTGGAGGAGGAGCGGGTGTCCGACGAGGAGCATCGGTTCGCAGACGGCGCATTGCGTTACGCAGCCGCCGTGAAGAAGGCACACGAACTTTTGGAGGAGTCGAGACGACCTTACTTCCCGCGGAGAAAGACGACGTCTGAGGCGGTCACGTCTGAGGCGGCGAAGGCTGTAAAGACGGCGAAGGCTGAAATGACGGCGAAGGCTGAAATGACGGCCAAGGCTGGGGTGACGGCCAAGGCTGAGGTGGCCAAGGCAGAGAAGACGGACAAGGTCGCAGTGGAGGGGGCGGTTGAAACGAAGCCCTCAGGGCACCTCTTAGATCCGTCCGCGGAAGCTGGTGTTCGAACGGGGATGGGTCCGAAGTCGATTTTGAAGACGCCTTCACACCGGCCAGTGTTGGACCGAGCACTGTCCTTGGACGGCGCACCTTTGGCTCGCGTGCCTTTAATTCGGGGCTCTTCGGGGGGATTGGCTGCAGGGTCTGCAGGGCTACCTCCTGCGGTGCCGGGTGGTAGCGAGGACTCGTTGGTTCCGGCTTTGAAGTTGGGTCCGTTCATTCCGCGGAACAGGCGACGCGTGTCTTCGGGTTCATTTGACTCGGGTGGTTCGGTCGTCTCGGATGCGCCGAGTGACGAGACCTCCTTGGCTTCCTTTCTGCTAACACCCAGAGAGGCGGTGGAGGCGGCGCCAAGTGTAATGGAGAGTTCCGAATCGGAAGCCTGGGTCCCGACGGAGTCCAAGTATTTTCCCGACGGACCGGAGTGCGAGCTGGACGTGTCCTATCTGCCGAAGCGAACCGCCAAGTCCAACCAGATCTTCGGTCCCAAAGGGGTGGACCCGAAGGTGGCGCCTCCCAAGCTCCCCGAGTTTCAGCCCGTCGACCCGTTCCCGCACGTACAACGACCCCTCTTCTTCCCACTAGGAGACCGCCACATGACCAGCTGGACTGGCGGCCCCGTCCACAAAGACGGAATTAAGGCGGCGGCCGTCCGCAAGGGCAGCGACTACCAGAGGTATCTCCACTACCAGGACATGGGCAAACCCAATGTCTTCAAAGCGATCGACGTACAACGGTCCAGCGAAACCAATCCTGACCAGATGATGGCCATCAAACGAGCGGCCGCCACTGTCGCTGAGGCTCTACGGGATCAAGACTCCCATGTGCCAGTGAGTAAAACAACTAAGGAATCGTCTAAGACGCAAGCAGCTGCTGAGGTGGAAAAAACTCAGGAAGGAGAGGCTCCTCTGGAAATGGTTGACCGACTGATTAACGCCATCAGTTACTATGTGGACCCCGAGTCGGATCAACGGCGTTACGTGGATATGCTTCACTTTGTGGCGAATCGCTTTAAACGGCGAGACCGGGGGCGTCCTCTACGGTATCCCGAGGGGATGCCGTTTTCCTTTTGGACACGGCTCACTACCATCCGGGAATTTGTGTTTGGGACCGGGCCACAGAGGACTGTGCCTCACGCGGATCCTGATCTGTATTACGAGCTTTTTGCCCGGTTTCGACACCCTGCTCATGAGAGGTACAAGATTGTTATGACAAGGAGTCGATGGATCTACCGACAAGCGGTTAAGAAACTAAACCCGAGCACATGCAAAAACAAGCCGTACCCTTTCAGCGCAGTTGTCCGTGGTGGTCTCAAAACCGCCTTCATACCTCGAAGACTTTGGACACCAGACGTCTTCGATAATGGGGTACGCAATGAGGACAACCCACCATTCGTTTTGATGCCGAAAATGACCGACGGTGAACGCCTGTGCCGGATACGAGAGCAAGAATTTATGAAAAAGGTGGTGAAGGCTGTTGAAAAGATCGTTCAGTTCAGACTGAACCGAATACGAGTCCAGGAAATGGCAGAAGAATACCCAAGCCGGTGTATTACCCGCCCGAGACTGGCTCCCAAATCCAGACATGCTCACCGACAAGTCAATGATGTCGTAGGGAATATTGACCCACAGGTACAACCCCAATTTGGCCCCATAAACCCACATCGTCAGGTGACGTATGGATCTGATGAAAAGAAGACAGTAGAGGAGCAAGATCTACAAAGCCCCACGTCTCGTACAAGGCGTATCAGAATCGTCGAGCCGAAAGGCAGTCCAGAGACCGAGCTGGAGCATGCCAGTATGGCTCCAACCTCTGGCCCTATACCAATGTCTGATAATTTTGGCAAAGGGCAGAAAAAAGTTGGGACCAATGAGGTCCGAGTTCTAACCGGAAGAGGCTTGCTCAAAAGAGAGACGGCCTTGGGCAGCGGACCCCTGTTCAAGGGTACGCGGCACAGGATTCCCACAATGATACATGCTTCAGAGCCGCCACCTAAACTTACAGCAGTTAATAGTCGGACTTCAGAAGCTGTGGATTCTAAAGTTGCGAATTCCGGAGTTATGGACTCGCTGTCAGAAACGGATGGATCAGAAGCCGAGGATGAAGAGCCGAGTTACAGCGAGCCACGGTATGAACCTTTGGGGGACAAGCCCGTGTATTTCGGTGCTGTGGAGAAGCGTGATTTGTTGGAGGCATCTGAAAACGAGTTTTGCTTGGATGCGACGTCTGTTCATTCTGAGCCGGCGGAAATGGGGCTGCATGACCACAGTGACCTGGACGAGGACCTGAGTGCCATGTCGGATGGAGTGTTTGAAAGTCGGCCATATGAGTTTATTCTGTTCCAACTTGAACAAGGTTGTGCCTTTCGTGCAGCTGAGAATGTGCCAACGGTGATTCGGCATCCTCCGGCCGTGCTGCCACTGAGCTACGACGTTCATGGGACTTGGAACGAACACCCCCGGGGCCTAGTGCGCAGTGAATTGCCTCGCCGGCAACCTGTGCCGAACCTGCCCAGTCTTGTGGGCGTCTTCCACCAAGTGCCGACCGACTGGCCGGATGTCGACTGGACCAAGATGCCCGGCAAACGGCCTCGCCAAAGACCACCTTTGCAGCCCGGGGAGGTCATCACCACAACCACGGGAGTCCGGCCGGAAGACGGACTCAGCGACTATCGACTTAAAAAAATCTTCAAAGAAGGAGGACTTCGTAACAAATACATCGCACCCGACATCTCCAAAAGACTACTGCCCAAATTGAGCATGGGCGTAAAAGACTGGGCCGTGACACCCGGACAGCCGCGAGAGGTCAAATCAAAGCTCGAACCACGGTCACCAAGTCCGGTGACGGTGACGGCGAAGGCAGCGGTCAGGACGACAGCGGCACTTGTCACGCCTGTGGCGGCTCCTGCCACGCTTTCCCCGTCGCCTGCCACTCTTTCCCCGTCGACTGCCACGCTTTCCCCAGCTCCTGTCACTGGCACGCCTGGAAGGTTGCTTGCGCCGGCCGAGTTGGAACATAGTGCGGAGACCCGGCCGGCTCCGGAGGATCTGGAGGGTGAGGAGGGTCTGAAGTTGCTGTTGGACGAAGTGAGTCGCGGTCCTGTGGCGGAGTTCCCTGTGCCTGTGCAATTGGAGGGGCGATCGAGTCGGATTTTGTCTCGGCTTCGGCAGTCCTTGCGTGGGCAAATGAAGGTGTTGGAATCGGTGAAGGAGGGGAGTCGGCGCTACACGGAACGGCCGTCCCGCGCTGGGGCGGCCTTAAATCGGCGGGGGTCGAGCAAGACGTCGCGCGTGTCGGCCTTGGGTGAGGCCGGTCGCGGCGGGGCGGAAAGCGAGGGGCTTACGTCAGACGTGGACTCGGAGGAGGAGGAGGTGTTCCTGGGCGCGGGGCCGCAGCGGTATGCGGCGATACCAGCGTTACATCGCGACAGTCAGTTGCGAGCGTCTGTTCGTAGTTCAGTGCGATTGTCACATGTGGAAGAGAGAGACTTCTTGGGCGACCTAAGTGAGAGTACTAGTGAGTCTGACTCTGAAGACGGTGGTCTACAGGAGGGTCGTATGTTGTACAACACAGTGGATGTGGTGGATGAGGATGAGCAGCGCAGTTCGAGGGCGAGTGTGTTGCAGAGTGTGCGACGTTCGATGGCGCGTTCCTCGCGACTTCGTTCGAGTTCTAGCTCGATCCCGAACCCTTCTAACCGTAAGTTTGTACCGCGACATAAGCGCAAACGGCGCAAGCCTGCGCCGATGTTATCTTTTATGGATACCGTCGTCAGTCGGTCCTATCGCGGGCAACACCGTGCCACTCGCCAACACAATGACCATTGGGTATGGCGCCGTCGTCGCTGCACCGTCTGTCCTGGTCGGTGTCGTGGACATGATGGCAATCGTGTGTGCTGGCTTGTTAGAGAGCCGAAACACGCCTACAAACGTTCGAGGCGTAATGACGAAGTCGCCCGCCGCCTTCTCGCCTGGATCGCCGCACCACACTGGTTACGCCCACTCAGCAGCGAAGGCGGATCCTACATCTCTGTCAACCACTTCGGATTCGACAGTGAAGACTCCGACGAAAGACATGCACCTCAACCACAACGACCTGCTGCGAACCCTCTCATAGACTCCGACATCGCCATCCCACACCGCACCTCAGACGAGCCCGGCTTCGGCGAAGATCTCGCCGCCGCACGACGTGTCAGCCCACACAAAACATGGAAACAGAACGCACGACGACCCATATCCATGGAACCCGTCCTCTCCTACCAAATGCGACTAGCCGAGGACAAAATTAATCACAGACGCGCACAACTGGCCGAGGAAAAAAATGCCATCCAAACAGAACAAAATGCCGTTAAGTACGACATACAGATCACACGCACCGACACGCACAAAGGCGAAGATCATGACCAAGATGCTGGGGAAAGTCCTCCTGGGGAAGGATCTCCTGGGGAAGAGGAGAACACAGTCACTCGCGACTCAACTATCTCTCAGGTACTTCACGATAAGGCGCCTAGCGCGATGCAGACCGAGGATGAGCCCGTGCCGACGGTATATGGAGGACACTACCAAAGTTTCCAGGTCCACAAAGCCTTTCAGACAACTACTCGGACTTACGACGCGGACGCATCTCATGACTCTGCCCATGGCCAGTACCCGAAACCAGGTCTTCGCGATCAAGATGCAGCTAGGTCTGGAGGCGGGAGCGCTGCAGCCGTCGTGCGTTTGTCCAAAACGTACAGCGCCGCTGACGCGGAGCCTGCCGTCGCGAAGACCACGGTCACGAAGGCTACGATCTCGGAGGCCAAGGGCTCGGAAGCCAAGGTCTCGGAAGCCGGTGTTGCGAAAGCCTCCGTTACAGAGATCGCCGTTGCCGAAGTCTCCGTTGCAGACGGCCAAGCGCTTAAAGACCGAGGAGCTACGGAAGGTGGAGAAGGTGGAGAAGTTGAAGAAGGTGGACCGTTGCGGAGACGATCGAGAGGCGAGAGCAGAACAACTGTGGAGTCAGTGGCTTCTTCTGGGTCGTCACTCTCCTCGTCGGTTGAGTCCGACCTGTCCTCGAGCTTGTCCTCGAGCTTGTCCTCGAGCTTGTCCTCGACCGCTAGCTCCACATCCACCCCGTCGGTAGCCGTGGCAAATACTCGGTGGTCAGAAAGTTTGGACGAGTTCATAAGCAAACAGGAGGGTGCCACGGAGCCGCCCTCGGAATCAAGGTTGAGTACACCGTCCGATGTTACAACCACTAGTGTGTGTGTGAAAGTACATGAAGTCCTCTCGCCAAAAATGGTTGATAATTTGTTTGGCAATAAGCCCCTAATGGATGTGTTCCTGGAAAGCGGAAAAACTTCAATATTTGCCCAAACTTCCAAAGGACCAGGTTATACTACAAAGTGTTGTCCCGTTATGACCGACTCTAGATCGGTTATTGAAAACTATCGTCAGGTTCTATCTGTCTTTATTGAAAATTGCACATCGTTGTTATGCAAGAAGGTCGCCTTTGGCGAATCCCACGTCATTGGTCACGGCCAGTATTCCGCCTCCAACCGACAGCGATTTGACGACAAGTATGTTACTTACTATGAGGAAGGTGAGTTACCGGAGGACCTGACACAGACGAATGATGCGCGAGGGGGCGCATCAGCTAAAGCGCCCTCACAAAACAAAGACGGGTTGGCCGAAAGTAACAACGAGCGGGACGATGATGAAACGCTCGGCATTACGGAGAAACTGGACTCAGTCCCCTTACGATTTCTGTATCCAACGAATACGAATATTTCAGAATATAGCGACGATTATGACAGCAGCGATGATCAAGAAGAGAGCAGCATTATCACTCGAGGAACATGCTTATTTCCCGGGTTAAGTAAGGTATCTCGAAAGCGCCATATGAACGCCTACGATAGGAATGAAGCCATGCCGCCTACCCTGTGGGAGGAGTTCTCAGACCGCCGCTTTTTGGAGCGCTTGCGATCCATTGTTGCAGTGTCGCCTTGGGGCTTGATTCAGCGACGTTTAATGGCTGAAGAGATGAAAATGAAAATGAATGTTATTACCTACGAATTGAATGAAGATATCAAACAGTTAAAATATAGAGATAAGCTTAACGTACTAGTAGGGACTAGTCCTGCTGAAAATCTGACTGCTTTTCGGCCTCCTCCGGAAGTGCGTGCACACACTTTTGCGAGCGATCGAAATATGCGGAAAGGGCGAGAAATGTTGGTTCCTTTTCATGAAGTGGGCGCAGATTCCCGAAGGGGCCATCTAGCCACTACGGGATCTCGTACGTCCACGGAGGAGCCGGAAATTGTAGGCGTGTTCGACCAAAATCCCCGACTTCTCGGAAGCAAAGACGGCGAAGATATTTATGATAGTTTGCTTTACAAAGTGACGCGGACAACTGACGACGACTACATATACAAAGCTAAGCCCGTCGAGAGGGAAAGATCGCTTTCCGGAGGGGATAGTGGAATTCCGGTATCAAAACCTTTAGAGATTCAAGCTGCAAGGAATCGGTTTGCAACAGATACCGTTTTATTGGGCTGCAGAAGCCAAGACGGGAAAGAATCCCTGTTCGACCACGACCCGAGAAGTGGTAAGGAGCCACGCCAGGGTACTAGGACGGGCCGAAGTGTTGCCCTAAGCAACTCCGTCCGTCCTGTGCAAACAGAAGACCAGCGACTTTCCCGAAAAAAATTGCCTCCAAGCGAAACACTGGTGGACCTGATTCGGAGTGAACCAGTGTATGACCTGGTGCGGCTTTTAAAGGACCCTTTGGTCGGTGATTCACGACGAACGAAGTAGTTCACACATGCCGGAGCATAGCTCAGCTCACGCAGCAGCAGCAGCGGGGAAGCAGAAACTTGGGGAAGTACCTCTTGGGTAACAAAAGTACCTCTTAGGTGGCCTAAAAGTACGTACCTCTTGGGTGGCAAAAGTACGTACCTCTTGGGTGGCAAAAGTACGTACCTCTTGGGTGGCAAAAGTACGTACCTCTTGGGTGGCAAAAGTACGTACCTCTTGGGTGGCAAAAGTACGTACCTCTTGGGTGGCAAAAGTACGTACCTCTTGGGTGGCAAAAAAGTACGTACCTCTTGGGTGGCAAAAGTACGTACCTCTTGGGTGGCAAATATGGTTTCACAAAAAGGTCATAGGTCCAAAGAACCACCAGTGTGGGATTCCTGGGCTTGTGACCAAAAATTCAAACTTCGCTTTTTCTGCTCCTTTGCACTTTATGTGCTGTTTGACCATGACACATTTCGTGCGCGCAGGTAGTGCAGAAACTGCCTTGAACACTTTTCCTGGTTCACAACGTTGCTTCGGTTCACAACGTTGCTTCGGTTCACAACGTTGCTTCGGTTCGCAACGTTGCGTATCCTCCTGCTCTTCTGTTTACTCCTCCACTTAACAAGAACTCCAAATTGAAACTTACTCAATGGGCACTAAGCGAGTTGCAGAGGGCCGTTAGCACCTCTGCATCCTCTAACGGCAAGTGCGGACATTATAACCTCGATGATCAAGCAACAATGCCTGACGGTAAGGGAGCTCCGAGCTGTGAACTTATCTCCAGCCATGATTCGGGCTTGATGACGTGAGCCTTAATATTTTGTGGTCATGATGATGTGTGGTCATGATGATGTGTGGTCATGATCATGTGCGGTCATGATCATGTGCGGTCATGATCATGTGCGGTCATGATCATGTGCGGACATGATCATGTGCGACCATGTTCTTGTAAGCCATCATAAGCAGCTTTGTATCAGGGGTTCCTCAGGTTGGCTGGTAGCATCCAAATGAGTGTCGGTGGTGTTTGGTTTGTCCTCCAAGAAGTAGACCCGCTCTGGCAGCACGGCCGTGCCCAGGGTGGCGAGTTGCTTTATGACCGGCGACGCGCTGCATATGGGGATGCTCTGGGGGCAGGTGCGGGAGGAAGACGCGTAGATATGGCCGAGTGCCGGTTGTTGGGCGTTTGTTTGTACGTTGAAGCCGGTGAGAACCGCGTGTTTGCACACATCGTAATTCATGGAGTGGGTGACGACGGAGTCGCTTTGGTAGTCTTCATGGGATGTGAGTTTGGCCCGTAGGTCGACGGCGTTGGTCGGCACTTGGCCCAAGACCCGTTGGCGGACAAAATTGGAGTACAATCGATAGGTGTCTACGGCCTGGTTCGAGCAACGCTGAGCCCGCCACTCCTTAGATACAAATCGGTCCAGCTTGCTGAGGATTCCGCATTCGCGGTCCAGCATAATGGTCCTCAGCGTCCACTGCTTAGTCACCAGAGGGTCCGCGGGACATGGGAACCAAAACTTTTCGGACGTGCATGCATGACGCTTGTGGGCAGTCATCATGTTCTCTCGAACTTGCGATATAGGCATGTAGAACATCCACGAGTCCTCGCGCAAAGAATCACCGGCGGCATTCTCCTCACTCAAGTTCTCATCGGCCGGCCTAGGCAAACCCGATCGAATGATCGCCAACGCAATTAGCGAACTGATACAAGCAATGGCCGCATTCTCGAAGTCCGTCAACTGACTCTCTGGCGTTCGCAACTCCACCCGCCAGCCGATGTAGGGCAACGTGCTGCCGTCGGGAGACGGAGGAGGCGGCTTGAAACGGACGGTGTTCCAGTTGGTACTCTGGATGTTCTCGAAATGGTCTGTACGCGTGGTGTTATCTATGTCAATCTTGTCTTCAAATATAACAAGCGGATCTCGAGTCCACAAGGTCGCGAAGTGCAACGCCAGTCTCTGGTCCATGAAACGGCTCAACGTGTCGTAGGCCTCCTCATTATGCTCCAGAAGCTGGTCATTAAATAAACTATCATGCTCATCCAGGAAGGAATGATCCGCGATAAACATGGGGGCGCATCCGTAACGGGACTGTTTCAACGTGCTCAACTCCGCATCCGTCCGGCAGTCACAAGTCTGCTCCAGTACGCGCCACCGACAGTCCAAATCACTCACCAATCCGGACAAAGCAGGAGTGCCTGCACTAATTGCCAAAAAAATTGGTGCGAACACTACCATCTGATCGTACAAATGCCTGGCCATACTCACGTTCGGACACCCGAAGGTAGCTTGTAGGCAACACTGAGACATTCCGTAGGCGAAACAGTCCTGGTAGATGAATCCCTTCACCGGCAAACGCGTGTGTCTTGACAAATCCGAGATGTCCGCGCGACTGCCAAACTCTTCAAGATCCTTAGACAGCTCCCACACACTCCCTTCCACCCGTTCCTTCCTACTCGTCCGGACAGTGCTTGTGCCAGTAGCCGGCGTTGAGGCTTCACTACTGACGACCTTAGAGCAACTGCGAACAGGAGTATTGAACTCCGGCGAATTCTCCGAACCGAAAGAGCTGGAGCCAAGCTTGCCGGAACCAAGCGAGCAGGCGGTGGAGCAGCTGCCAGAGGTACAGCGCGGGGTCTCAAATGTGTAGGCGTCCTCGAAGGCTTTGATGAGCGAGGAGACCTTAGTGCCTCTGCGGGTGTTGACGTTGTGTACCAGTGTAGGGAATCTTGGATGCGGGTTCGGTAGGCACTTGGGGATGCCGACGGAGCCTTCAAGGAAGTCGGCCAGGTTGTGTCTGTTGCCTGGGTTCCATATGTAGTCGGCAATTCTGAGTGCATCGGAGCCGCCGAGGTGTGTAAGGTCTACTGCCTCGACTGGGGAGGTGACATCGAGGTGGGAGGAGGTGACTCCGAGAAGGGGGAAAGCAGGCATGGACATAACGAAGGCTTTGTTTCCATAGAGGGACTGCAGGACAGACTGGATTTTGAGCCTTCGACTCATCATGCTTTCTTCCACGTCAGTCACACCTTCAACGCTGAGCGCGTAAGGGGGCGAAGGCGTGGCCTCTATCATGTGGTTACCAAACTCCGGGTGCCACTCCGCCGACCGTAAAAACGTCTTTTTCTCGCGAACCAAGAACAACTGCTTGCAACACATCAACGATCGGTCCCACTCGCCCGTCGCTTCGCGCCTCCGCAACTCGGTCAAGACCTCCGGCGCCTCCACAATCAACTTCGCCTCGCGCCGCTCCGCGTCCAAGTACACCATCGTCATCTCCTGCTCATCACCCCAGTACAAATTCGTGTCTTCCCGAGTGCGGTTCAACAACCACACGTGCAGTAGCTGCAACAAACCGTCGCGCTTCACTAAAATCGAGAGATAAGGGAGTTCCTGGTTGGTTAGCAGTCCCCGCCTGGCCAGCAGTCCCCGGTCAGTTAACCAGATGAGCACGCGGTCGGGCGAGGATGCGTAGCAGTGGGGTCAAGTGAAGACCTAGCCGACAATCTAGCCGACGATCTAGCCGACGATCTAGCCGAACATATCCAGGCCGGGGAGATGGAGGGGGGGGGGGCATAGGTGCTCCGGGGGGGGGAGCATAATGGTGTTGGAGGGCTCACCTTTCTTCATCACATCTAACGATAACGCTTCCCAAGGAATGGGTCGACCAACCTCGAGAAAGCCCATAACAAAAGATGTTCAAAATACAACAATTAGAAAAATGTGTCCGTTCGGTTGCTGTTGGCCGTCGCCAGTGTTCGTGTCTCTGTTCTTAGTTTTGGGTGCGTCTGTAATTAAGTGCTATATAGTCGGTGGCGGGGAGGCCAGCGGCGGCCCTGAGGAAGTCCACAAGTGCTTCCCTTTGGGGGAAGAGGGCGTTGATGACGGGAGCGTGTTTAGGGACTTGGGGCGCCTTGAGGAAAAGGGAGAGGAGTGATGCCAGCGTGTCGAGCTGCTGGAACTCCTGGTCCTGTTCGGTCTTGACGTGGATGCGTTGCAGCAGTTCCATAAACAAAACCAGGTCAAGAATGATGGGTGCGGCGAGCAAGCTGTCCTCGCAGGTGTTGTGGACCACCACCGTCTGCGCGCCGTTCATGAAAATATCGGCCGTGTACTCGTCCAAGGCACGCTTGCTATCGCCTACGGTCGGCACGTATTTAATTACGATGAGATGGTCGGGGTGCTCGCCCTCTTTGTAAAGAAGACTGTTGCTGGCGATCATGTCGTCAACCACTGACGCCTTGGTGATCTCCTTGCTCCTGAACTGCTTCTCGGAACTCAGATTGAGTCCGTCGTTGTTACCTAAGTGGTTGTAGCTCACGATCGACACAGGCTTCAGGCCAGTGGACACTAAAAAGTCGGCCATCACCGACTTGAACTTGGTCTGACCCGTCTTCAGGTCGTCGCCTGCTAGATACACACCTTTCTGCTTCGCTAACTCCAAAACTCCGTCGCAAAAGGTGTTCTGTGGCGAGCCATTCACATAGGCGCAACCCTCCAAGACTGCGGCCACACAGTACAGCAGCGAGGGAGCGATCTCGGTGGTGTTGTTTCTGATTGCTTCCAGCAGGTGCTCGGCAGTGTCGTGGACACCCTCAAGGTGGTCGCTGAAGCGTTCCGTATTGCCATTCCAGAAAATAATCACCTTCTCTAGGTCATTGGCCTTCTTGAACTCGCGGATGTTGCTCCTCAGCGTCTCGAGCTGGCCCTGCTTGTCCTTGCGGGTTATCACATGGTCAGCTCTAACTTCTTGGTTGGTGGCGATAAAGTCGTAGTCATACACCCCTGGGTAGACTGCGATCCCGTTCATCTCCTCGCGGAGCTGACGCTGGACCTCCACAGGCAATACTCCAGCTCGCTTCATGGCCTCGTCCAGTGGCATGGCATTAATATCCCAACCACCCAATACCAGGTTGTCGGGGTGCAGCATGGGCAGCAAACGGTTAACCGGCATATAAATTTCCTCCCCGTTCTGTTCGTTGACGCCGACTTTACAAGTTGCAGTCATGGCCACAGACCCCAGCCAGTTCGCACGGCGATCACCTCGCTGTGTCTCCCAAGTGACACCCTTCTTGTTCGCCAGCAGACCGGCAGCCAAAGTGGTCCCGTTGTTGCCCGCCAGTCCTATAAACATCACACCCACCCGAGGGACCCGAACCTCCGTACGGTAGTCCACCTTAGTGGTCTTGGTGGTAGCCACCATGCGAGCCTCCTGCGCGTCAACTACAGTACGTGTATAAGAGTGCGATGAGTAAAGGTAGCCATCCTTCTCCTCTGCGCCAGTCACAATAAGTGGGCGAGCAATCTCGCAAGTAAGGTTTGAAGTTGGGCGAACCATTTTATATAGCAAAAATTTTAATCAACTAATTTTGCAGAGACAATTCCCAGGTACCGCGAGGCGTCAATTCCGCGAAGTAGGCTTCTGGCTCGATGTAGGACCACAAGGGTACTTCCGATTCCATGATGAACTGAACGCCACCTGGCTACTTAGACCTCTCGACAACCAAGGCACCCTCATCCAAGTCGCAAGGCAGGCTCCTGACGGACAACTATTGTACAGCACCGTTCTCAACGGCCAGCAGCCCAGGGGCTTGATGCCAGAAGGCTTAGATACACGTACTTTAGGTACACCTGCGGATGGGCAGGACCGCCTGCGAGAAGAAGAAGCGCAGGATCGCGTGCGAGAGGAGGACCATCCGGGAGTGAGACACAGCTCAAGAGAAAACTCCCATCGCTACGTCTCTGCACCTGTCGTACGACGTAGACAACGAAACGAGCCATATGGTTCAGTCGACAGGAGAATGCAAGAACGTCGTCGAGATCGTCGTCGAGATGAACACGACCGAAGAAGAGGCCGGGAGCTAAACCCCGGAAGTAGCTGGCAATGCCCAAGCTGCTCGCAGGCCAGACAACTCGCCGAAGAATTGCTGGCCGTTCTGAAGCACAGTGAGGACCGCGGAACCATCCCCCCCGAAAGCATCACCCCCGGACACATCTCCCGCGGACGCATCCCGCCGCCGAACGACTTAGAAAGCGATAATGATTCGTTCCAAGGAGACATCGAAATGCTCCAGAAACATGAGACCGACTGTTATGACAGTCAAGGAAGCTCTGATGAGAGCTTTAAGAAACGCGGCAACCCCCGCGAAGAAGAACACGAAGAAAAACAACACCGGTTACAGACCAACAGGCTCGGCCCGAATGCGAGCCACTCGCGACCCGAAAAACCGGCCGGGAAGTCAGCCACAGCCGGGAAGTCTTTCCCCCGCAATTCGTACTCGGACACAACCCGTCTGAACTCGGAGTGTACCGAAGCCATCCGTAATGGCTCCGCCGCGAATAGACTTGACCCATCGCTGGACCCCTCGGTAGCCTTGCCCTCTTCACCTATCCCGTCAGGACCTGTTCCTGGAGAACTTGGTCCTTCGGGATCTGGTCTTTGGGAGTTCAGTCCGAGCCCGGATAGTCCCTTGGTGTTCACGTCACCGTGGTGTCCGGACACGCCCGGCACGATAACCTACCTGAGACCCCCTAGCAGCAGCGAGCGCGAACCTGTTGACCCTCCGACAGTTGAGCCGCCGGCCCTGAGTCCTGAGGAGCCGACCCCGACTCTTGAGGGGTCGCTCGTTGACCGAGCTGCTGTTGAAGCGAACGCAGTGTGGAGCCCAGTATTTGAGTCCCAGGAGAGTCCCTCGCCTGCGAGTAGCAATTCCAAGGCTGATGAACTGTCAAAAGCTCGAAAAGCGCCGTCACCACGTCGTGGCACGCCCGCGCCGGGTCACCGATCGAAAGCCGTAAACGTCCGGCTGGGTCGAGGACGGGGCAAAGAATTAATGACCACTGGAGGTACCCGTGTGGGAGGGACTCGTATGGGAGGTACCCGTATGGGAGGGACTCGTATGGAAGGGACTCGTATGGGAGACACCATTACTCAGAATCTGGCGTATGCCGGTGTGAGGAATGAAGCGAGAAATGAACACCCCCAAGACGAAGAAGCCAGAGATGAAGGTGCAGGTGGGGAAGTTAGTGGGGCGGTTCAAGTGGGTCAGGATCAAGTGGGTCAGGGTCAAGTGGGTCAGGACTACGTGATTGATGGTTATGTGATTCCGGCTCTGGATGCTGTGCGTGAAAGGTTGTTATTGTGCTTGTCGCACAACGTGGGCACAGGCAGACGGAACCCACGAGTCACCTGCCCGATTACCGGAGTAGACCTCGTGGTATCCGCCAGAAAGTCTCTTCGTGTGCGTCGCTGGCGGCCCTGGTGCGAGCACTGTCTCATTACTCACCCACCACAGACCTTCAGTAGCACTAAGGACACCGCAATGGAGCTTATGGTCTTGATCCTGCATTCATGCCAACTGCCTACAAAATTCGACCCCCGGTTTTTCTCGGATCTCTTCAACTAAACATGATGGGCACAGTCAACGAGGGCACTGTATGGGGAGGTCTGCACGGGGAGGGGTCATCAAGGTTTTTTCGGCGACGAAATAATTATGTCAGAGTGCCTCACGATGATCGCCGACAAGACCCAGGCAGACATGCATTTAGTAGTCAAAGGACTAGAACGTAAGCACGAACACGGGACGAGGTGGTGCTGAAACCAAGATGCTGAATTCAAGGTGATGAATCCAAAGCAATGAAATTAAGGTGATGAAATCAAGATGCTGTTATCAAACATGTGGAATGCTGACTATGGAGTGTGTGTGACTATGGAGTGTGTGTGACTATGGAGTGTGTGTGACTATGGAGTGTGTGTGACTATGGAGTGTGTGTGACTATGGAGTGTTTCTGGCTATGGAAAGTGTCTGGCTATGGAGAGTATATCGTTTGATTCTGAAAATGTTTGTTGTAGGGCGATTGGAGTTTTTGTTGATACAGGAGGAGTTTCTGACCAATGAGCAGAAGCATTTGCGTAAGGAGTTTATTCGTGCGTCGCGTGAGATAAAGCGTATCCAGAGTGTGCCGTTAGTGATAGGTCAATTTCTGGAGTTGATAGATGCAGGTCACGCAATCGTGAGTAGTGCGGGTGGTAGTAACTACTATGTGCGATTATTATCAACGATTGACAAGGAGTTGTTGACGACGTCGGCTTCAGTGGCATTACACCGTCATTCGCATTCGGTAGTGAACGTGTTGCCGCTGGAGAGTGATAGTAGTGTGCACATGTTGGCTATTCAGGAGAAGCCTGACGTGTCATACGCGGAGGTGGGAGGTTTGGATGTGCAGAAGCAGGAGATTCGGGAAGCGGTGGAGTTGCCCCTAACTTGTCCGGAGTTGTACGACCAAATTGGAATTGACGCCCCGACAGGAGTTCTGCTATACGGTCCGCCGGGGTGTGGCAAGACGATGTTGGCCAAAGCTGTGGCGCATCATACGACGGCTTCCTTCATCCGTGTCGTAGGGTCCGAGTTTGTGCAAAAATACTTAGGTGAAGGCCCGCGATTGGTCAGGGATGTGTTTCGATTGGCTAAACAACACTCACCTTCAATCGTATTTATCGACGAAGTAGACGCAATTGCCACCAAGCGTTTCGATGCACAAACCGGTGCTGATCGTGAAGTTCAACGCATCTTACTAGAGCTACTTAACCAAATGGATGGCTTCGAAAAGAACACCAGCGTAAAGGTCATCATGGCAACCAACCGTGTTGACACACTCGATCCCGCTCTCCTCCGCCCCGGCCGTCTTGACCGCAAAATCGAATTCCCGCTACCCGACCGAAGACAACGCCGTCTCATCTTCCAGTCGTGCACAGCTAAAATGAACCTCAGTCCCGAAGTAGACCTCGAGGACTTCGTCAACAGACCCGGCAAAATCAGCGCTGCAGACATAGCAGCCATTTGCCAAGAAGCCGGCATGCAAGCCGTACGCAAAAACCGCTACGTCGTACTCACACGCGACTTCGAGCAAGGCTGGGAAGTACACGTCAAAGAACACGACGCTGGCTTCACCTTCTACTCCTTCTAACCCCACTCCGTTCCACACACCCCGCTCGCTTCCCACAGTCTGTCACGACTCCAAACAAAACCACTCTGCCAAACGGAACACCCACCCCGCGCGCGACACGTTGAGCGTGCCAGGCGCTGGGCGTGAGCAATATAACGCGCGCGAGCGCACCAAGCTCATGGGTGTAGTAAGCTATTGCTCGCGATGGCTCGATGCCGATGTGGTCCTGCTGTATCCCGGTCCCCGTGCTGTGTCCCGGTCCCCGTGCTGTGTCCCGGTCCCCGTGCTGTGTCCCGGTCCCCGTGCTGTGTCCCGGTCCCCGTGCTGTGTCCCGGTCCCCGTGCTGTGCTGCAACCCCGTTGAATCCCCTGTCGGCCTGGTCAAAAATGACAACAATGTCGTGGTGGGTTGGTCGTTTAGACCGGATGGCCGTTGACAATGCACACACCTCGGTCGCCGTCCAGGGTTTCAGTTTGGTCGCCCGGGATGTTGAGCGAGGTGCGAGAGTTGTGGTCTGCCAAAGAGTCGGGATCCAACGGGTTCCGGGTCCTCGTGGGGACGCTGGCTGGGTGGCCAGCAGCGGCCCGTATGGTGGTTTCGTCGTCCGCGACGTCACTGGCGATATTGAATATAGACGGTCGTGGGTCTTTGCGGTGGAAGGTGGCCGTTTCGTGGACGCCGTTGCCGTCGGTGGTGGTGCTGGCTTCGGCGAGGTTTTCAGACAACTGTTTCACGACAACCGGTTCCGTGTCGGTGACGGTTTCAGTGTAGGTACGTCTTTCTTCAGACGCGTGTTTTGCTCTCTCTTCAGTGTGGCAAAAGGCTTGTGATTCAGGAGTTCTGTTAACATTCAGTTCGTCTTCCGAGGCTCGGGTACTATCTGGCGCAGGCAGGGCAATGTAAAGCCAGAGCGCTGTCAGGATTACCGCAGCCAGGCCGAAGTGTACCTTGCGTCGCACCGACAGCTGGGTCAGGTATTCTGAGACCGCGCGGGGCAGCTCCAAGAACGCCCCCGCTATCTCGCTAAGCGCCGTCCGGTGGTTCGGAGGATACTCTTTCCTCACCTGCTTTTTCTGAATCCTCTCAATCCACGACGCAAACTCGGAGACGCGATCGTGATCAACCTTGAGCTCCGTGTAGTAAAATCCTTTATCATACTGACTAGATTCGAACACAAGAACTCCGCCATCGGGGTGGCCCGACTGGCGGAATATTTTCATCATTTCGTCGTCGTTTTGGTCGACCAAAAGAGTGTGATATCGGTACTCAAGTGACTTGATCACATCCAGCAGCCCTCCGTTGTCCTTGTCGGCGTTACTCGTGAAGCTATCTAGTACAGGGTTCGGGTGTGAAATAACAATGGTACGTCTTTCTGGTTTGGTAGCTCTGGCAGCGAAGAAGTCATACCACGTAGCTTTCGGGATAATCCAGGGTGCGCGGACTTTATGTATGTTCTGTTTGATTTCCTGGACCCATTCCTCGTCTTCTCTGGTGGTTAGGACGTGGCATGAACGTTTTTCGGAAGTGTATCGATCGACAAAGCAAACTGTGTTCTCTACACGAGCATATTGTTCCGTTCCCCGCTTCATGGTAGCGGGGATGTCATCCGCGGTAATAACGCGGTCATTCTCGGTGGTGTAGAATAATAGCATGGGTTTCTGCAAATTTCTAAACCGGCTGTTCAACAGTTCGAGAGCGCTTTGACTCCCCACGATGTAGTTCTCCGTTCGTTGCGCCCGACACAGCGAGTCGCGAAACTTGAGCGTCATCGGACACTCGTCCCCAACATAGTACTGCGCCAGAACGTACGGGTACGGTTTCACACGCCGACGAAAACGCGCCAGAAAAGCTGTTATTGCCTCCGGTGTTCGTGGCAACTTTGGATACTCCAAGTATGCATTGCCTTCGTTATTATAAAACTTCATGGATGGAAATGCACTCACACCCAACTTGCGGCACTGGTCCATATTCTCTTCACAATTCATCTCCGCAAACACAGTACGAGCTGCATCCTCGTCATCCCACGTCTCCACAGCCGCCCTCGCTATCTCGAACGAAGGCCCCAACGACTTACAATGACCACACCACGGTGTGTAACTAAAACCAGGATTATTAACCACGGTCAAGGGGGTTGCACGGTCAAGGGGTAGGATTGGTGTGCCGTCGGGGAATTCTATTCGAAGAGCGGAGAATTACTACTTAACCAGTAGAGCGGCACCGTCGGTTAACGTTTTACCGAAAGACTTAACCTGTTGAGCAGTTTTGATTTCAAACGCGCATGCTGTGGCGACCAAGAACGGAACAAGTTTCATCTAATTAAAAAATGTGAGAATTCAACTCCCTCTCTTGAGGCGCTGCTGTTGATTAAGCCGAACCTAACTTTTTTCCGACTGGTCATGGCTTGCTAAAAAATGGACTTGGCGTTAATCCAGTCGTGCTCGATCTGCCACGGAGCCTTGGCAGATGAGCCTGAGTTCTCAATACCGGATTGCTGTGGACACGTGTTCCATAAAGGATGCTTGGCCACTTGGTTCGAGTCTCGACAACCGTTCACGTGTCCTCTCTGCCGACAAGCAGGCCGCAAAATGATATCCATCAAGCTAGTCGTGGAGCCGCCACCTCGGAACCCCAATGGTGGTGAGGCTATGGATGCAATTGGCGCAGCAGCTTTGAAATCCAAATTTGAGAAATTGCAAGTACGATTTGCACCGGGACAACCGTCATTCTCAAGAGTTGGGATTTGGACTCTACCCGGTATCGATTACCCGGTATCGATTACCCGGTATCGATTACCCGGTATCGATTACCCGGTATCGATTTCACATGCTACTACTCGGTTCTATTATAATGTAGGAAGAGTTCAAGTCAGTTACTGTCAAATTACAGGAAGTAGAACGATCCGTTGAAAAGCAAAAGGTAAACGATGAGAAACGATGGAAGTCATGCCTCTTAATTTAGAGCGATAACAACGCCATACAGCAACGAGTACAAGACATAGATCGAGCCAATACAGAACTGAGGTAAAAGAACTTGATGGGGAGGACTTGGGTGGGTGGTGAAGACTATCTTCAACGAGCTTTCGGGTCGGCGTTCTTATTCGCACGCATTCTTTAGTGCGCAACTCCGAGTTCGAGAACAGCAATTGAAAAAGCAAAGGAAGGAGCTTGTGGTATATCGCCAGTAAGTTTGATGTTTTGCTTGGTATTGTGGGTTCTGTAGATCGGAGCTAGAGATTCAGGGAGAAGAACTCGAACGCGATATATGGCAAGAATTTACCGAACTTGAAGTAATGACCCATCTCTCTCACGCTCGCCCCTGTTCACGACCGACATCACCCCATCCTATATCTGAATCCCAAAATCTCAAATTTTTTGCAGAATGATCAGCAATGTAACTACCTCAAGTCAATGATGTTGCAAGTGAAAAATCTCCGCCGTGAATGCGATGCAAAAGGTGCCAAACTTCTCGCGGTGCAGCAGGACTTGGAAAAGGCTGCGGCCATGGGAACGAGGACTGAGAATAGTAATCCTACCAATCACGGAAATGTCACCGGCAAGACCGTCCTTCAGGATCCGTATGAAAGACCGAAGAAAAAGATTAGGCCCATGTTTCGGACCTCGCCTTTGTTTTGACCGGAGTTAGTTTTTAGGACTATCGCCAATTGGCTTTCAATTCATTGATCGATGCAAGCAAAGCATCATCAGAATGAACTCTAGCGTGATTCAACAAAATTTCCAGGAGACGATTGTCGTATGGCGCGCAACGCGCACGTGTGTGCAGGGCGAGAGCGCACTGTTTTTTGAGCGAGGTTAGCTTAACCGCTCCGTGAATTAGGACGCACAAGGCTTCTAACTCATCATCGATACTCCCCCACTGCTCCAAGCGTCTTTCCCGTCCAAGCTGAGCCCACAGAAGAACCTCGGGCCTCTCACCCCATCTTTTTCGTATGGTCGCCAGTAGTGATGAGATTAGCATAAACATCGAAGCTCGCCGTTCGTCGCACACCGTTTCCTGAAAAGAGACCAGCAAGGAATCAACCGGCCGGGAATCCTTGTCATCGTTCGGGCTCTCTTCTGACTGGAGCTTTCGTAGACACAATCGAATGGTGTCGCGTATCAAAGCCATATTAAACACAACGTTGTGTTGTCCGAACGCTTGAAGATTCTGGTCCAGTATTGTCAATGGATCAAAAGTGGAAAGCAGCAATAGGTTCCAGAAGGTGAAGCTGGGTAGTTCGTCCTTATGATTTTGTCGCGAGCCTGAGCTATCTTGTAGCAGCTGGCTAAGCTCCCTGACTCTAGGGGACGATTTGTCAATCGTCAGCATAGGTAAAAGTCTTGGCAAGCACTTGGTACCATGTGCTAGAACCATGGCAAGAACAACGTACATTTCCCTTTGGCTTTGATACCTTGTATTCTGAGTGTTCAAATTTTGATTGCCCGTATTGGCAGTATCCAACAACGTCGAAGAGACAGACGAATTTTTTATATCAAGTTCCATTTGTTGAAGAGCTTGTATCACATAAACCAGAGTCGACTGGAGGTCATCAGACTTGAAAATGATTTTTAGTTCCTCCTCACGACTTGAGTATTCAGCATGGTTAGAGTATTGAACCTTGGACACAGTCATTGAACGGACTCCAGCTGCTATTCCGCCTCTACTTTCCGAATCCGCGGTGCTGGAAAGCAGGTAGCAAGAGGAGGTGTAATACATAGCGAGGAAGGCATACCTTATCATTGGTTGTCGCCGGGTCTGTCGGCCTGGTAGTTGATCATTGGCGGCATCCGGCGGGCCCGCAGTTACAGGCGGCTTTTCGATCTGTCGCTTCACGCCGTCGATGGTTGAGAGCTGGCTGTCCGGGGCTGAGAGCTGGCTGTCCAGCGCTGAGAGGTGTTCCAGCTGTTGCATGAAGCCGTTTTGATCTAAGCCTCGCATAACTGCATCTTTCAGCTCCTGGTCCGCCACCAAGAAGTCCCAAATCGATTGCCGTTCTGGTTCCAAGCCTTGTGCATTACGGCTTGCGAAGTAGCGTGCTGAGCGACTCTCAGCTGAGCATCTTGTAGGCCGGTAGTGCAAGGCATAGCTGGAGTACAAGACAGCCGGTAGATGTGGCAAGAACGGCGACACGAGCGAGAGGATGTTCGTTTCTACAGCGAATCCTGTCACCACCATTTGGAAGAGAATATCAGAGGTGAAGTGATGCTTGCGAAAAGCGTGACAATAAGTCAGAATCGCATCCACTAGCACATCTTTCCGACAAGGAATCAAACACCTGCATACCGTTGCCAACCACGGCATGAGCGTATTCACGCAGTTACTCATGGTTTGTTCATCAATAAAGTCGTATCCGAATAATTCGTCGTCGTCGTTCAGTCCAATAAATTCAGGCCCGATACATCCAGACTTTACACCGGAGTTCTTCTTGTTAGCCTGCATCAATTTACTCAATTGCAAATGATACGGCTTCATAAGACGGGTCACTTCCGTCTCGATGCGGTGCTCCGTCCAGTATATTTCGTGAAATCGTAAAATCGCGCTCCAAACGGATAAGCTCGTCATGGCAGTGCTACGACGTGACATTAAGTCAAATAGCGAGACGAGCACTCGAGCTACTCCGCTCTCCACCTCGACCACCTGTTCCAGAGGAACGCGGCTAACAAGCTTCTTAAACAAGATTAAACGTTTGTAAATAGTCTCGTCTATTATCCGATTAAACGGAATGATTTTCACCTCGGCTGGACCGATCATTCTATTACTCAGTGTCAGAACGTGACCTAGTATATCGTTCCATTGAGACAGCCACCGTTCGGTGCGACCTAAAAATCGGTTGACCTCGAAAATGAAGTCCTCTAGAGAAGACGTAAGAGTCTGCAGATTTTCCAGTACGAACTTCAAAGCGAGCAAAAAGCCCTCTTGTACTCCGGAATTCTCTTGTACTCCGGAATTCTCTTGTACTCCGGAATTTTCTTGTACTCCGGAATCTAACCCGTTCCCGGCTTTCCGTTGAGTAGCAATCTGGAGGGCGCCAAGTTGCCTTTCAATGATTCTTTCCGCATCTCCGCGGTCAGGATCTATGACCGGCATGGAGAGCATGTAGTGTTGTCCGAGCAGCAGAAAATCGTCCGTGGTACATGTCTCCTGGCCGCAGCGCTTTTCCAAAGTCCTTTGCCGCTGGAGCACTGCCAGTATCCTCATCAATCTCACCTTCACGGACCGGTCGCGGGGCAGAAGCCGTATGACGCCTTTACCCTTCGCCTTTTCTTCGTCGCCGGGTCTAACCCCGACACACCTTATGATCGTCCCGTCGGTATTCGCCTTCGTTAAAGGGTCTCGTTCCAGCTCTAACGCCGCTTCCAGTTCTATCGCTGACTGCCGATCCCGTAGTTGGTCAGGTGCTTCGTCATATTCTCGTTGGAGCTCAAAGGCGCGAATGATATCGGAGTCATGGAGTATATCATTGGCCAAGGAGTAAAGCGATGTCGAGTCGGTAAGTGCCTTTTGTATTTTTTGAGAGGCGAGCAGCTTCTCGTATAGCCACGCGGACGTCTGAGAACGCGGTTGGTAAGTAAAGTACCGGCCCTGGCTTCGGCCCCTACCCTCCTCTTCAGTTCGGAAGACAGCCGAGGCTATCTCATGCCTCACGCTGAAACACTGGTCTCGGTAACCGATGAGGTAGTGAACTGGCTCCGGCGCATTCACCCTCTCCGCTCTCCTCCACACACCCGGGGCCACATCCACGCTGGCCACGTGCACTCCTCGGTACCAAATGCGGCCCGTCCGCCGCAACCTCTTGCGCTTTGCCTCTTGTGCTCGCAAGTCTTCTTGCCCCGCCCGCAGGTGCTTGCGAGACGACCACGTGTCCTGAAGGGGGACTGCGTCCAACGGCAAGTGCTCTGAACCCGCGTCGTACTCCAAACCCGGGTCGTACTCCAAACCCGGGTCGTAGTCCGAACCTGCTTCGCTGACCACCGAGATGTCAATATCTTTGTATCGCTGCGGCACGCCATCGTAGTGACCAATTTTCGCGGCCCGGGTCCACAGCTCATGAGTTCCAAGCCTCACATCACCGCTGGGCACTCCCACCGCGGTCGCTGCTCCACAACTTCTCTCCATCCCGTCGCCACTGCCCGTCTCGAGATCCGTGTCCGTGCGGCCTACGTCCCGTAAACCGGCATCCCGTAAACCGGCATCCCGTAAACCGGCATCCCGGAAACCGGGGTCCCGGAAACCGGCATCCCGGAAACCGGGGTCCACCCGTATACCACGACGGGGCATATTTTGGTCCGTGGTTTCGGGGCAGCCAAAGAGCAACCGGGTCAGAGAGGACAAACCGGAGAGGACGCACCAGAGAGGACGTACCAGAGGCCGAGCACGTAGCGAGTCGCGGCAGTGCGTTACGTTACGTTGAAAAAACTAGTGGGCGCGTGTGGGATGCCCCACGTGCGTTGTTCCACTTGCTTGCTGAGGGTGCGGAGTGCGTCAAGAACAAGTTGTTTCTTCATTGGTGTAAGGAGCTTCATTAAAATCTCGTCCGCCGTTCCCACTACGTGGTGAATGAGGGCATGTTGTCGTCGTCCGGTCGCGGAGGTGGGTCCGGGAAACACGCGAGTCTGAATCACCATATCTCCGTCCCGCAGCGGCGGTTGAAACGTCTCGGGCTGTAGCCCTCCCTCTCGCACACTTCGGAGTCCCGCGTTTCGGATTCCCGCATCCCGGAGACCCACGTCCGTGTTCGCATTTGGTGCTTCATGTTCAGCTTCTAGCCCCTCGTCCTCCACGCTCGCATCGTGGTCACTGAACAACGGAGAATCGTCTTCGTCGTCGTCGCGCTGCGGACCCGAAGATAGCACGCGGCCCGCAAGCGTTACCGGAGAGTCGGGCGAGTCGCTCTCAAAATTTATCAGCAACCGACGACCACCATGGACTTCATCCACGTCCTCGTCCAACTCGTCACTTTGCTCAGCATCCACGAACCCGTAAAATTGCTGAGCGTCCTTGCGTATATTGATCTGCAATAACTCCTATTTCGTGTACCCCGTATGCACATCCGGTCGTGTCCCCATCCAGTCGTGCCCCCATCCGGTCGTGCCCCCATCCGGTCGTGTCCCCATCCAGTCGTGCTTCCCCCCCCCCC